AGGTACTAACAATCCACTTTCACACTTCAATATGAAAAAAATTATTATAATCAGTTTTAAAACAAGTGTTTTGTTTAACTTTATTGTGGTTTTACAAGTTTGTTGGAAGATACTCGTACGAACGTATATGTATAATATCCCTAAATATATATCATTTTTAGTTTAATTAACATGTGGCATCTCATCACTTGACTTAAGAAAAAGATGTACACCTTAAGTTTTAGGATCTACTCTTAGTGTTCAGTTATTTACTTGATTAATTGGCCATTACAGACGTGAGACGTCTTTGACTCTGTCTAGTAGCCCGATTAGTAACTAACCCGATTAGTAGCTTGCTATCGCCAATTGATAATACTGAATGCCTTAATTTGGTTGGTCACCTGGTCCTTTTACCAAAGTTGCAGACGTTCTTTATCACGTTTTCCAACAGCTGGTACTAAATAAAACACTTTTCTACCCAGAACATTTTCTTCCGTTCGCAACAAGTCAAGACATGACCAAACCAGCAAAGCCACTGAATTTTTAATACTCTTAAATGTCGCGGTATAGCTTATCGCTGTAAACGCTTAAAGGACAATAAATCTTTCGAAGAACTTTTTACTCGAATGCTCCTAATGCTCTCGCATCACTGTTTGTAATTATCCAAACTTCTGCACTATACACCAGGTTAGCATAATAAGAGACTTAAAGGAGTGTGATTTTTGTTTGTCAAAAAAGGTCTTTATTTCTCAATTGCTTACTTAGCTCCAAGTAACATCAGTTAGCAAGGGTGACTTTTTTTGAATATCTAAATAAACGTCATTTTTTGTGTTTACGTTGGTTGCCAAATAAAGAACACAGGGTCGTATTTTAAAACTCTTAAGATATTGAGAGAGATTTTCTTTTTTTAAAAGATTGTAAAAAAGTTCGCGGAACTTTTCTTTACATTACAGACAAGTATTAGAACGTGTGTATCTTACCAATAAGGAGTAACTTGTGTGTATATTATATACATACATCCAGTTTCAAGTACAGTTTGAGCAAATATTTTGAAAATAACAACGCTTTTTTTATAAAATACAATTTTGTAATAATTATCTATCTAAAAATTTTGATATATAGTTTATTTTTTAACAGTCTTTCTAAAAAGCTTCTTTGTACTACCCTAAATAGCTTTTATGATTGGTTTGCATTATATTATTATGAGCAGTTGTTAAGTTAAAACCAATTTTGCCATGCCATTTGAATCTAAATATAGTTAATTGAACGGTATATAATACAGCTATACGGTTGATCAAAAAGTTAATTTACGTACCTTAATTCTGTTGCACTTTATAAGCAATTCTGCCATACCAACTAAATCTAAAAACAATTGACCAAGCTGCATGTTAAATATAATTATAAATATAAGATAATTTATGTACCCAAATTTTGTATAACATTATCTCAAAAACGTCTTTATCATCATCAATACCAAATTGGAGTTATTTTTTTATTTATTTGTTTAACCAAGTCTCCTTTTCTATAGGTCAACATATATTTGATTTCCATAGATCTCCTTCTCATAACTAAAATGCTTGATATTTTTAGAAATTATTTGATTATTTTTTTAGATTACATTAAAATAATTATAATCAACGAATTACTAAATGCAATAAATATATTGAATGATTTTTTTTATCCGATTCACTAATACTAATAGTTTTAGCTATATCAATTTATATGATTTAATTGTGGTTTGTTTTTTCTGTTTAATAACAAACATGTGTTTTACACGTATTATCTCTGACTATCTCAATGAATCATTTTTCAATCAATTGGACTCTTTGTCTTAGATAAATATTAATTCTGATTCATTTTTCCGGTAAAAATAAAACTAAGTCCAATTTTGTTTTAATAATATACATATATATATAATATAATATAGAAATGTTAGTGTGCGGAAAGAATTTTTCTTTATTCAATTCGAAAAAAAAACATTTCAATATAAAATTAAAGAAAAAATATTATTGTATAAAATTAAGAAACAAAAAAAAAATTTTTTATTTTAAATTAAAAAATGTTACAGTGCTTAATATTTCTTACTCTTTTCTGTATTTTAAAAATTGACGAATTAATAAATGGCAACGAAAATCTTTAACTTATAAAAAAAATATCTAAATAAATAACCACGGGTATCGTACGTACATTGCAAGATTTAGTGTGTACCTTAGTAATACTCTATAGTTTTAAACTATATTATATAGAAATTTGACTTTTCCATACAGCTGTTTCGGATAACGCCAAATATCTATTATTAGTGGTGGTCCTTGGAACTTATTGAAATTTAGAAGTAATGACAGGCTGGAATACTGCACGAAGCTTTGTTCTTAGAGGATTTTTCTTAGAGGATAACAAAACAAAAAACTTTTCATGTCAGCAATTAAATCCTGCCAAATTTAAAACGTGGACCTGCGTGTTAATCTACACAACCAACGTAAACAAAGTGTCATTTATCAAATTTAGAGTTTTATCAATAGTACTTGCTGAGTTATCAATTAGAACACAGCATTAGTTCTAAAAGTAATAAGAAAAGACTTAATAAAATGTTATTCGGAGATGTTAGGATCTTGGAAAAATATTAGTCTATATGAAGTTCTTATATTAATGAAATTTTTTAATTATAGTATGTATAACCGGATATAAAAATTTTTTTGATAAAGTTGTTTTTTTTTTTGTAAAATTACTGCTGTCCTAGGGTCATCATTATTTTTTTTTGTAAAATTAACATTGCTTAATTAAAAATTAAAAAGGGAATTTTAAAAGAAATAGAACAAAGTCAAGTAATTTACATAATTATTTTTTATTTTTTTTATTTTTTTTGTATTTTTTATTTATTTTTATTTATTTATTAAATTTATTTATTTTTTTTTATTTTTTTTTATTATTTTTTTTTATTTATTTTTTTATTTTTTTTTTTTTATTTTTTCCACTTATGTTTAAATTTTTTATTTAATTTTTTTTTTGCCTTAAACTTTTCTTAATGCCAACATATACTCCATGCAATATGTATTGAGCGATTCTTAAATTGTTTCTACGTTTTTTTGTTTTATTTTATTTAAATTATCAATTCCCGCTAATACGTTGGATATAGAATATTTTAAATTCTTCACTGCTGTTTTTTATATCGTTATTTTAATTGTTTTTGTTATGATTTTATCGTATATTTCATTTTCACCGTTTCCAATTATTTCGTGCCTTCTGATTTCTGGTTTTGTTGCTAATGTAACGGCATTTATGTTCTTTGTGATTTCTCAACAAAGCTTGGCTTTTTATTTTTTTAATTTTTTTTTTGTTTTGTTTCTTTGAGCTCTTTTCATTGCTGTATTTCGGATTCTTTTCTTTTCTGATTCCTCTCGCCTTCTTCTTTACATAATTTATAACATTTTTGCATTTCTTTGGACTTCACTTAAATTGCCATTGTTTAGTATTTTTACTTTTTCTTGCAAAATTTCCTCTATTTAATGCATACATTTAAATGTATGTGTGTGTATGTGTATAAGTGTCGATTATTTTATACAAATTCGGCTCATACTGAGATACAAATACAATATTTTATTTAACTGCTTGCTGGCTTGCTTGCTGTGATTGCATTTGGTTTATATGTATATAAGTATATGTTTTATATATATTTGTATATATTTTTAGTTCTGTTTTATTGTACTTTTTCGTTTTACTGATAAACGTTTTTAATTCCCTTTTTTATAAAAAATGATTTTTTCATATTCTTATCTCTTGGTTTCCAAGCACGACACACACAAGTTTCACAGTAAAAATTTTTTATTATAGTAATGCAGAATTATTAAGAATTTTTATATGAAAATATAAATTTTATTTGAAATTTTAATATGAAAATAAATTCAGAATTGTATTAATCAAATATAATTTAATTATTATTACATTATAAGAGTTAAGAGAAATTTTACCAATTAAATTTGCCTAGATTAAAAATAGAAATAAAACGTATAGAAATTAATTTCAAAAGTAATGGATGGGTTATAAGGCTATTTCTCAACTTTGACTCCAGTGTCAAAGATAATGGACGTTAATAGTTGTGAAAAATTGAGGTTTAAACGCTTAAATGTTATTTTTATATAAAAATTTTTGTTTTATATAACACTTTATATTAATTTTCTTTTATAAAGCATAATGATTATAAGCAACAGATAATGCAGACTTTAGCATCATATCGATTTCCCGAAATTTGACCAAAGCAGCTATTTTATAGCAACTTTTTCCTCTACACTATACGTACTATATATCAATATAGCTTAGTTATCGAGTTATTGATGTTTGAAGTTATAAACTTTTTAGATTGATTTTACTAACAAAAACTATCCAATCCCCATCTAGTGCCAACTATTATAAACACTTTTAACATTAAAAAAAAACAACAAACTCTACACGTGTCTGTTTGTTGTCGATGATTTTTATGAAAACATTTTCAGCTAAAAACCCAATACCTCGAAAACTATACTGCCATATGTGAAGTAGAAAAAGTTGAACAAAATTAGTATCCCTTTATAAAATCGGCGTGCCTAGCCAATCGGACTCTTAGGTTAGTTTAGGTTGAAGTAGCGGTCTTGTGCCCAAAGCCCACTTTAGCTGAAATAATAGTCCACTGTCATACCATGAAAATTGAAATCTTGCTCAGTTTTAATTTTTCTTACAGTAAAACAAAAATGGAAGGTATGAATAAAGCATGCATAAATGAAACGTGTTCTTTAAATACCTATTTCTTGAACCACTAGTTTCCAAAAGTGGCTACAATTAAACTGCTGTGATAGTATCAATAAGCACTTCAATTACATTATAAGTCATTTAATATTTTGCTTGTTTACTTTAAAACTAACTTCACTAATTTTTTTTAGACAAAAAAAACTTGAGAATTAGAGTGTTAAACTTTTCCAAAAATATTTGGAAGCAATATTCTCCTGAAAAGTGTAGGGCAAAATGTATCGTTTTTATAATCGTAATCACTTGTAACTGTTAAAGACCGTACAAAAAACTTTTAACTTTTAAAATTAGTATTTTATCAATGTTGTGATTTTTATGAAATATTTTAAAAGACTTAAATTGTATTCACAATTTAATTAACACGATGCAAATCTGAACAACAATATATTACTTAACATATGACCCTGTTTATAATTCTATAGAAAAAGTGTAAGTACACTGACGATGAGATAATAAGTTCTAATGAATGATGATGTATTTAAAATTAATTGCTGTCTTTTTTCATTAAATAATGAAGCAAATCGTATACAAAACAAAATGCTTTCAGTTTAAAAAAAGTATTAATTAAGTATACACCCTGAATGTACAAATATATGCATGTATGTATGTAGAAAAACTTTTTTATATCCGTCTACAAAACATATGAAAATGTGACCTATTATATTGTTTATAGTTTATATTTTCAGTCCTTTTATAGTTCAGTACCAAAATATTTGAACCATTCATATCCGTATAAACAACCAGCAATCAGTCTTCATTTGAGAATTATTTCCTTGTATTAACAGAACAAAAAAATATTATTACTCTGTAAACAAGTCATAAAAAGTTTACAAAGAAAAGTTGTTTTTTTATTTTATTTAGGAAATTCTAGCAACAATAAATATTCAATGCATTCATCAATGAATTACCGATTAATTGAATAAGTGGTGGTTGGTTTTATAAAAAAAAAAATTTTTTTTAAATTTCTCACTTATAGTATATTTATTTTTTATTCTTATTGTTATTTTTTTTTATTATATTCAATTTTACGCAACTTTTCTGAGTCATTTGATAATAGAAGCATCGGAAAGTTCGCAGAGACATCAACATACATAAAAAATAATGAATTCGTTTATGGCATTTGCTCAGACATACATTAGAATTATTACGTATGTTTTTATATGGACGCTAAATTGCTAAATAAACTTAGTTAAGATAATTTTTGAATACAAAGTTTTTTTTTTGTAGTGCCTTACAAATTAACAGATTTTTTTCTTTATTTATAAAACAAAACCAAAACTAAAAACAAACTGAAATCATTTCGTTTTCAATCATATTTGCTTGAATTCGTAGAAAATTTTTTAAGAATATAGGTCAAGATTTGTATACATTTTGGGTAGACTTTACAAATAAACAAAACTACAGTAATTTCATTAAAAATACTAATTGTATTATCTTGTTTCAATATAGCAAACGGCAGCCATTGGAATTTTTAACTGTACGAGTCGAGTAGTCATAAATTTTAAAAATGCATTCCTTTAATTTCGTCAGTGATAAGACCATAAATAAAAGGAAATTCATTCCACTGATTTAGGTCAAACATCTGCATATTTAGCTATATATTCATGTAAGATTTTTTTCTTTAATATATTTTTAATTTATTTTCGTGATTTAATTTATGTATCTTAATTTTATGACTCACAAATTTTTAGTTTTTATTTATTACTATGTAACATCAACGATAATGCAACACAGATTTTATTTTTCTAAGAAATGTTGGATGAAATTTCCTCATAAAATTAATTATCTTATTTAGTACCTGTGAAAAAAAATAATTTTCAAGCTGCATTAATTGATAAATGTATATCGAGCTAAGTCCATACAAAATGAATAAAAACGAAGTTAAAATAAAATTTTTGCTTACTTCAAGCTTTTAAATTGAAATAATTATATTTTATATCCTTGAACGGATATTAGAAATGTAGTTAATTTCTACAAAAAAAATTTAGATAGGTAATTGCCATCACCTTGAAAGTGCTTATTAGTAGAAAGAAAACTAAAATAAAAAACTTAAAATAAATTATAGATGTTGATGTTGTTCAAAATATGTATACACAGTACAGCTTTGCTACTCTAAATGTCTGATAATTCGGATTTCCCTAAAATTCCGGAAAGAATAGAAAGTGTAAAATTTGCAGTCTGTATGTTGTAACTCGAAATGATTACAGATTCTATAATGTTGATCATCAACTTACATTTGATAATTGCTCGTAGTAACAAATAAATATCAGTATTTTGAAATTAATCCATACGCCATACCAGTATGGTGATGAGTTTAAACTACTGTTTATTAAAATTGAGAATAGTTAGTCTTTCTCTTAAACAATTTTTACTTATAATATAAAAAAGTTTACTGAATTAGTTTACTAAAAGCTTTGAATTCTGTTTAAAAGTACTAGGTACACACAATTTTGAAGTTTAGTTGAAGCTAAAAATGAAAATAGGTTTTGATTCAATTTATCCAATGACTTCTAAAAAGAGATAAATGTTAAAAAGGCACACATATCTCCTGTTTTGGTATTGGCTTTACTTCAGTTAAAAGTTTCTTTTATTAGCAAAAGCTATTAATTTAAAATAATGTTGCATAATATTTTCTATTTACTTTAACTTCTGATGTAATGGAATATAAAAATTTAGTCATTTAATTCAATTTCAATGAATTAAAAGCATCTCTCATTCTAATCCACCCTCGCACCTTAATTTCCCCTATTTATTCAAATATTCTGAATGATTAAAAATATTTTTTAATCTCTTTGCACATTGTATGACTCAATATTTCTACGAAAATACTTATATTCAGATATATCTACACTTCCAACATAACAGATGTAGATTTGCACTAGCTTATAATTCTTTCTACATCTATTTGAATTATGTAGATATATGAAAAATTTTTTTAAACAAAAAAATTTACTATTGCATTGCTTAAACAGTCATTAGAGTAAATGCTATTATATGATGATAATCTATAGTGTTAATAAAATGTGTTACTTATTTTACTCAACATTCATTGAGTAAAATTGAACATTGGTTTTCATATATGATCTACGTAATGAATTAAAAACACTACGGTGAAGTTTTTGAAAACTTTGTTTTTTATTAATAGTCTTTGAAGACCTTTCGTAACTAATGGATTTCATTTTTCAAATACTTATAAGATAGAATTTTTATTGATTTCTAATATTCCTTGATCTGCCTTTATCACACTCCCAGGTTTCAGTGGCTGTTTTGCCAGTTGTTTAGGGTGCATTTAAGGGAGCAGTTTAGGGAGCAGCTGTAATGAAGAGTTTTAATATGTTTCATATATTCTGCCTAACATATCGCTCAGTAGTCAAAAGCTGGTTTATTTGATACGATTCAAAAATCCACACCTCGCATTCGTTTGTAAGAACTACGCGAATCAAAGATATTTACATATATTATATATGTATATATACAGTCAAACTTCCATAACTCGAACTTGTATAACTCGAATTTTTTATAACTCAAACTAAATAGAGTGCCACAGGGTTTGGAGAGCAAATTACTTACAATACTTTAACTCGAAGTCTGCATAAGTCAAACTTTTGCTTTGCAAAATGGTACTTCGAGTTATGGAAGTTTGACTGTATATATATATACAGTGCTGTGCATAACAAAAGCAACCAAAATTTGCCCATCAAATAAATAAGTTTTTTGTCTACTTTTTACTTTTCATTCAAAAATCTAAATACACAGTTTTATTTGTTATTGTATTAGCTATTATAAAAAAACAACAAAATCTACAATTCTTCATAACGGGTTAATTAATTCACACAAATAATAAAATATTGCGAAATGCGGCTGTGCAAAACAATAGCAACTGAGACAAGATCAATGATAGATCTATGACCAAAGTGCATTCTAGCAAGATATTTTTTTGATTTTTTGCATTTTTATGCTGTGATTTATGTTTTTAAGCAAATTAGAACATAAACACAGAATAGTTCAATATTAAATCAGGTAATGGAAGTACGTTTTTATCATGGCTCGTGACACGTATACTTTGAAGTTTAAAGAAGCAAGAATTGAAAAATATTTAAATGGCAATACTTAAATGAAATAGCCAAAATATTTAAAATTAATTAGTTTATTGTTTCGCAGCTTATAAAAAAATATAATTTGTCAAAATACTATTAAAACGGTTTATTTGGGTGAAGCCCCTTGTAAGACTACTCATAGAATTGATAGAAACATCATATGAATTACAAAAAAAACAACCATTCGTGTCGTTGAAAAAGGTCGTAGCCGAGCTTAAACAAGGTGTTGACTCTAGTACTGTACGCAGGCTTACTCTTGAAGCCGGTTTCAAAAGTTACAGACCAGTCAAAAAACCAATGTTGACTAAAAAGCATTAGCAAAAGAGGTAGATTTTTGTTTTGCTTTTTAATTAATATTAACATACTTCATTTAGATCAAATTTCGCGTGGAATCACTTAAATTAGACTCTTACTAAATGGAAAATAATTTTTTTCAGCAATAAATCAAAATTTAACATCTTTAATTCTGATGGGATGTGCACAGTACGTCGCGAAAAAGAAAAACGTTTGTATTCGCGTAACTGCCAAGCGACTGTGAAGCATGGGCGTGGGTCAGTAATAATTTGAGCGTTCCTTTCAGGATTTAGACTAAGATCTTTTCATGAAATTCATCAAATAATAGCCCAACATGTGTACAAAAAAATTTTAGAAAGCCATATGGTACCCCATGGCGGATGAGAAATGTCACTCCGACGGGTATATCAGTACGATAACGACCCAAAACACACCATAAAGCTGATAAGAAAATGGATTTTGAAAAATGGAATTCCAATTTTAGATTAGCCAGCCCAAACACCTGATTTTAATTCAATTGAGAACATTTTGGTATTCTCAAACGTCGCTTTGGGGGTCGAAAAGTTTCCAAATGTTTGAGGTCATGAAAGATGAATGGTGTAAAATTCCAAATAGTTTTATTAACAATTTAATATCACCTATGATCCGTAGAAGTGCCCAAGTAATAAAAAGCAAAGGACTTTATACAAAATTTAGAAAAATAATACAAAAATTTAATATAATAAATAAAGTTGCTATTGTTCTGCACAGCCGCATTTCGCAATATCTCATTATTTTTGTGAATTATTTAACCCGTTATTTAGAAT